AGTTCAGAATATAATAAATGAGTGAAGAACTAATCTATAATAATCAATAATAATATAAATTGCTTCTGATAAATGACATGTCCTTGAAGGAAAAGGTCGTGTATGTAACTTGCTCTCAAACTGTTTGAATAGCTTACAATAAACAATACACTTTTGTATCAAAGTGATTTCCAGCTAAATGTTTCTCTGTACCTATTATCATTTTGAATCAGTTAACTTTCTATTATGTTTAATTTAGGGTTTGGGTTTTTATGGGAGCATGCTATATAGAAGATGACTGAGAAGGCCCCCAAAACTTAGCCCCAAAGACTTAAAACTTGAGGGGAAATCTCAAGCACCTTTCAAATCCCATGTTACTGAAAAAGGAACATATTCACGGGGCAAGGAAGTGCTTGGGATTAAATATCGCAAGTCTTGGTGCCGACGGTGACAGAGATCAGCTAGTTCTGTCAATGTATGATCAGAACTACATACTACTTAAGGTCCAGAGGCTGTGCTACTTTGATTCTCTCTCTTCCCTCCCAAACCTCCTCCCCCAACTAGATGTGGTGGAGGAAGGGGATAATAATGATAATGACATATATATAGTTCTTAAGGGTTTGCAAATTGCTTATGTATATTATGATGTTTGATCCTTACAACAACTCCATGAGCTTGATGCTATTATACCCATTTTACAGATGGGGAAATAGAGGCTGAGAGGTACAAATTTCTTCTTTCCTAGGAGAAAGTCAATTCCTCTACTTGGGTTTTTTTTTTTTTAAGTATAAAATTCAAGCATCTTAGACTGTAAGAAATAATCTCAGCTAACAAAATTCTGACCTGACTTTCAGAGGGTATGCCTTTGAACTGAATCTAACTGCTTACAAAACGGGAGAGTTGAATGAAAATAGTCAGTTGTAAGTTGTCCATTCAACTCTCCTCGGGTGTTTCACAGAAGTAAAGTAAGATCTGATTTGTAAGTGGTCTGTGGTGATACTAATTCCTTCGGAAATGAACGAAACTTCTAAAATGCTGGTGATGCCCAAGTGAAGAAAAAACATGGGGCTACACAATTTTCATTATTGTGGTAATTACAGCCTTTTCCCTTTCAAGCTTGCCAATCTCACTAATGACTGAAATATAGCCCTAACCTCCTTACAGTCATTAGAATTGTTCTCCTAACCCTTTATTGGTCTACACCATCCTTATAGTAGCTCTGAACTGCCCTCCTTCCATAGAGGTCTCTTGAAAATAAGCTGCTATTTCTCAGGACCATTTGCATCTTCAGATGACAAGATAGCACTAACATATAAAGTCGCATTAAATAATTTTTTTTGGATTGATATTTCAGGCAAGGTGGAAGAATTCTTGGACTTGGAGTAGGGAAAGGTTTCCTTGTACCCTTCTAGATCCATGTGAACTTTCCCTCTTTTCTTCCTTTGGCCTCAGACCCCAAGTTCCAGTATTGTGGCACCTAATGCTGATATGCACATGTATAAATGCAGGATAAAAGGACTAGGGAAATATTGGGGAGAAACAGGGAGAGGAGGTAAAAGTTCTCCTTGAAACAAGGCCCAAAGGATATGGAGACAGCAACTGGCATTTTATCCTTCTTAGATATTGGCAGATTTCTTCCCCACTTTCCCCTTTTTGGCCAGCACCCAAAAGTTCACACTTTTGGATAGCTTGAATAATTTGCTTGCTCTTCACACATGTTAATTTCACTTGGTCCTCAATGATTCTGTGTGCCAGATAGTAAGAGTATTTCTCTCCATCTTACAGATAAAGAAACACTTTTGTGGTTCAGTTATTTTTCAGTCATGTCCGACTTTGTGACCCTATTTGGGCACAGAAACTAGCAAAGAAACTGGAGTGGTTTGCCACTTCCTTCTCCAGTCCATTTTACAGACAAGGAAACTGAGGCCAACAAGGTTAGGTGACTTGCCCAAGGTCACAAAGCTAGTAAGTATCTGAGGCTGGATTTGAACTTGGGTCTTCCTGACTCCAGGCCTGGTGCTCTAGCCACTGTACCACCTAGGAAAAAACTATATCATTAAAAGTGCTCACCCAACATTACAGCTGTGGCAGAACTCAAACCCAGGTGTTCTTGACATTATACTTCAGGGCCACATATGTTCTGCTAAGATGGAATTCCCTAGAGGACTTCCATCCAATATAACATAACATCTCTTTGAGATTCATATAATTAGTCATGCTTTCCTTTTAGGTTGGAATGGGAAGAAAAAACTACTGGCATAAATGAGGCTTGCATGGACCATACATCTACTACTGGCAAAAGGAGTCTTCATCTTGCAAAAACCAGAAGAAGCCCATCATGGATACAGAAGACTGTCTCCGATGTAATCAATGATGCAAAAGAGATTGTGGCTAGGCTCAATGACAAAAGTAAGTGAACAATGCTTTGATTGGAAGTGGCCCTGGCAAACACTGAAAGAGGAAATAGTCCTGGTTGTTGGCATGTTTCAAATTGACCAAGTAAAGCAGTACTGACTGTTTAATGGGTTAAAACTTAAATTTGGACTTGACAAAGTTTGCCGACTAATTCAAGGAAAACTCCCTCTTGTTGGCAAGGAATGAAGTGATGTTAAAATATCACACTAGATAACTCTACAATCTGAGTTTTAACTCAGAATTAGTTGAGAGCACTGATCACTTCCAAAGTCGGGCCAAAACAGCTGTTTTGGTTGTTGGAAACTACCCTAAGAGCCCTGTTGTCTGGGAATATGGCAGAAACAATCTCTAAGTACTAGACCTAGGTAATATAAATGTTATAATAAAACAAAATATCAGGTTTTGTTGGCAATATGTATGCAGTGTTTGTCCCAACAAGATGACTATGATCTACAGACAAGGTTCTAATCTTAGCATAAGCATTTCAACTGGAGCTTTAAGACCTTTTATTATGTTTGTAGTCAGCCTAAGGCTGGAAAATAGAACGGCACCAGCACCAGTACCAGTCCAAGGTCACACAGGCAGTAAATAGTAGAGCAGGATCTCAGCCCAATTCCTCTGACTCCAAATTCAATGCCCTTTCTCTCATGGCATGCTACCTTACAATATATATTTGTATTCGTACCAATCAGTAGAAAGAACAGATGCCTTAAAGAACAGCATCGTGCTCAGATTCTTTAAGAGTCTAGCCAAGGGCTCAGATTTTTATAATCTAGCCAATAGCTCACAATTATTCAGATTTCTTAAGAGTCTGGCCAGTATGGTGGATCTTTAATAAGCTTTGTCTTTTTCTGAAAGAAGACTTGGGTCGAATTCATTCGGGCAGGACTTGTGTGTTGTGATTTTTGGGGTCCCAGTACCCCTAAACCTCTAAACTTCAAAATATGGTTCCCTGACCAGGAAAAACTGTTTAATCCCAAACTCTTCTCCAGCCAAGCCTGGAAGATATGTAAATCTCCCCCCCCCCCCCCACCCCTTTCTTGCCCTGAAGTTGGTGGATTTCCAAGTACCTAGTAAGGCTTGGCTTGGAAGTGCTTTTCGGGCCTGACCTCTTGGGACCCATTAGGTCAGAGAGCTACGAGGCTATCTTTTATGCTCTCAGCCCAGTTGCTCTGTTTGAGGGCATGGACCTGGGCACACCTTTGGACTCCCTATCCAGAAGTGTAGACCCAATCCTCTCAATTCTCTTGGTGCTAGGGAATTGATAAAACTTCAGGTACTATTTTGTGCTTTTGGTTTTTTTGTTTCCTGAGGCTTATTCCAAATCCTTCCAGCCCCCAGACCCACAAAGAGTCAATCCTCTTCAATTCCTGAAGGTTTGCCTTTGGGCTTCTTTTACAAAATTAGGAAAATTTTAGTTTCTCTAATGAACTTAAAAAGAAAACGCTGGTGTTCTTTTGCAACACCGTGTGGCCTCAGTATCACCTGTAAAATTATAAGGCATTGCCCGTTTTGGGGACATTACAGCAAAATATTTTCTGAGTTAGGATATTGTAGCAGAGAAGGAAAATAGGTGGAGATTCCCTACATAATGACTTTTGTTGAACTTTCTCATGACCCCATTCTCAGAAGATTGTAAGATGCTAGTAGCTAGAGGAGCCCAACTAATGGAGAATAGGGATCAACTAGACTTTTTGGATGATCATCTTATGGCACCCCACACTTTGTTAGCACCACCTCCCCAGCTCCTATCTCCACTCCATTCTTCCCCCAACTCTTCCTTCTGTTCCCCATTTTGCCCAATACCTCCTGCTACTTTCCATTCTCCCCTCCCCTCGATTTCCATGCTCCCTCCCTCCTTGTCTACTCCCATTTCCCTTGGTTTTCCTACCCTTTTCCTCTATCCCACCCCCCTTCATTTCCTCCCTCATTTACCTTCCATGTCTCCCAAGTTGAATTTCCTCCCCAGGCCCATACCCCCAAGGCAACCCCTCCTAGGGCTTTGGACAAGGGCCTCACCTTGGCACTTCCTCCCTTGGCCCGTCCCTCCCTCCTCCAGTGCCAGCTAATCTTTCCCCTTACCAGCTGGATCCCCAACACCTTGCAGTCCAGTCCAGTTTCGATTTCCTATCCCCCTTCTTCCCAAGCACACCCCTTCCCACAGTGCCTTCAGGGCTTTTTCCCCTAACAGATGTGCCTGTCTAGTCCAGTGGGATAATTAGAGTTCATGTTCCATTCTCTTTCAGGTCAAAGAGAAATGGGGGCAATACTTAGAAGATCCCACTAAGTTTACTGAGTGCTTCAGGGACATGTCCCTACAATTCGAGCTTTCTTAGGGTGATTTGCATGTCTTCTTCTTCACCTATTATACCACTGAGGAGAAGAGGAGAATCTGGGAATCTGAATTCAATGTGGTCATTTCTTGTGAAATAGAAACTTCCTTTGAATTGATCACTTCTTTTTTTAAAAGCAGAAGGAAAAATTAGAAGTGGTAGTTTAATTGCTCTTGGCCCAAACACCTGTCACTACTGGTACTAGTTTACCTTATTAGAAGCTATGCCCATCAATACCTTCTAGTTTTTAACTAATTATGCTTTTATTTTCAGCTTCAAGTGAGCCTGTCGGCCAAGAGAGAATAAGTGGACCGCAGGAGGTAATTTTTACTAACAGTTTGAACTAATTCAGATTCTGCTGTGAAAACAATCCAGCCGTGGATCTAATGTTTTAAAAATGTCTTAGTTTATAGCATCCTATTGGAACTTGACACTGAGTTCATTACAAGAAAGAAGTAATTAGAAAGCCTAGGTGTGTTGAATACAGGCCACAGTGGCCTTTTATAGGCTTTGCAGCACATACAGCCCTTCTAAATTCTTTAAACCATTTCCTTTTAAATTCGAGGCTGAATTCAAGAGTTTGTGATCATAGGTAACCTTGATAGACTGAAGAAGGGCTCTATACAGATTCTTTTTTTAAGTAAGTATTTGAAGAGGAACCAACTTGAATATATTAGTGTTGTCTACACTAACCAAGGGCTGAAAATGGAAGAGGACAAATAACAGGTAAGCTAACAGATAAAGAGAATAAACTTGAACCTGGTATAAAATATAGGGAGTGAGCCACTATCAACAGGTGAAACATTTGACTAAAAGGAAAACTTATCAGCAAGGTAAATTTGAGTAATATGTGTAAAATATCAAGTTTTTTCATGTACAAGAGGGAAATCCATACCCCTCTCCTCTGTACTAACTGATCACAACATTCAAAGCAGTTTTGGGAAGGGCTGGGGAGAGAATGGAGTTAGCATTTATTAAGTACCTTCTATGTGCCATTTGATCCTGACAAAAACCTCTGAGGTAGGTGCTATTTTTCATCCTCATTTTACAATTGGGGAAACTGAGGCAGACTTGTGACTTGCCCAGAATCACACAGCTGGTAAATATCGGTCAGATCTGAACTCCAGTCTTCTGACTCCAGGCCTGGTGCTCCCCCCCACTGCACCTATAAGGAAGGTAATAAAGTATAAGCAAAGGCAACATCAAGATCATGGGAAGGACCAGCTGGTATTTTCCCATCAAGGATGAGAGGATTCCTTCAAAAGGACTGTAGTGCCTTGTACCTGCCCCTTTATCAGCCATTCAGCTTCATACATCAAGACATACCCAAACCCCATTTCTACAAGGAGTTGTCACAGCAAACTTTGTGAGCCTTGAACCCTAGGCTGCCACCCTTATGTGGAGCCAACTCTACTCCCACCCCAAACCTATTCCTCTTTTTTTTTTCCCTTCTGCATGCCATGTTTCACCACCACCACTACTATATTTTCATAATTATAGGTTTCCCTTGCTTTCTGTCTTTTATGGCTAGCATCTGATATCTACTTCCATACTGAGTCATCTAATCTGAACTTTTGTTTCTTTGCATAAAATTAGATTCTTATCCTGTTTCCCTATCTCTCTTCTCCCAGAACTATACGTGCCTCTACTCCTTCATTCATTAAATGGGTAGTCCAAAAGAAATTCTCCTTCCAACTTTTTTTTGCCAACGAACCTTGAGCCTTCATGTTAACAAACCTCAAAATACAAACAAAATGCACATATGAACACAAATTCTAAGTAGTGTTAGATAAGAGGGGGCTATGAAATTACTGGAAGAAACTTGAAATTGCTAAATATTTATAAAGGTAGACTAGATCCTTTTCTTGTCTACTTTGTCTAATTGAAACACACAAAAAAAAGTTAACACAAATGCCTACTACGTAAAAAGACCACTGCTAGAGACACAAAGATGGGAACATTTCCTGACATCTATTCAGGTAGATATTGTCAGCATTTTTCAATTCTTATGAATTTTGGGAAGGCCTTCCTAACATTTAAAATAGATTTCCCCAAGTAGCAATGGTCACAAGCATCAAGAAAACTCAGATAACAGAACATGCAATCTAGCAGATCCCAAAAATCTAGTCTGGTTGAAACACAGTATGTACTAGTACATGTTTGTGAATATGGAAAAGCTAAAAAACAGGATGGTACCAAAGCATGTTAAGAGCCTAAGGAGGGGTGAGGAGTCTGCAGCCTAGAGGCCCCATATGGCCATCTAGGTCCTCAAGTGCAGCCCTTTGACTGAATCCAAACGTTACAGAACAAATCTCCTTTATAGAAGGATTTGTTCTGTAAAACTTGGCCTCCATCAAAAGGCCACACCTAAGGACCTGAAAGGTCACAAGTGGCTTTGAGACTGCCTGTTCCCCACCCCTGGAAGACATTATAAACTTTTTTTCTCTTTCTAGAAACCACGTTTATTTAAAGAGATCATACTTGACAAAGCTCAACCATCAAAAGAAACTGATTCATTAATGAATGCCAGTAGTGGTGAATCAAGCAAGGAAGATATCTCAAGCATCAGTGCTGTTTCCACAAGATCTGCGTCTGATGAAGAGAAACTCTTGTCTGAAATCCAAGAGGAGAAACGAATACTAGAAGAATTAAAAGTGACTATGGACAAATCCCTCCCAATGTCACAGGACATGGGTTAGTGAATATCAAGCTAGACACAACTCCTCTAGTCTCCTCCCTCATTCAGTCTTGCATTTGAGTATAAAATAGTCTGGCTAATTCCTGATTAGACTGTTCTTGATGTACCCTATGACTTAGTCATCTAACTCCCTTTAAATATGAAGTTGCTACTAATCACTTGCTTATAAGTTTATCTTTAAGAGTGGAACAGTCTTATAGCTGTTACATATTTAGCCCTGAATAAGAATCTGATGCTGTTTTATGATTCTAGTGCCCAATACCTTGGTTCAAGAAAAAGGGATTTATGGATTTGGTCATGTAGCATAATTTAGCTTTCCTCACAGCAGAAGCAAAGGGAATATCCTTTGGGTATTGACAATCCTATGGGTTGTCAAGGTCTCTAAGATGGACTCACTATTAGTTCTCAACCCCTCTTAATTCTATTGTACCTTCCCTATGTTAATTGTGTCCTATTTACCCTGCATGTAGCTTGCTCTGCATATATTTGTTTGCATGTTGTCTCTCCCATTAGATTGTAAGATCCTTGAGGGGAGGGAAAATCTTTTACTGCCTCTTGTACCCCCAGCCTTTAGGACAGTACCTGACACATAGTTGGTGCTTAGTAAATGTTTATTAAGTATGTTATTGTAGCAGAATCATTAATGCTCTTTTTAAAAATTCAAAATAGCTAATATCCAAGAATCTTCAGAGGAAGACAGAGATTATTTTAGAAACAAATCTTCAAGAGAAGGCTATTTCACATCACTAGGTTCTCTGCCAAGCGACCTCCAGCCCCAAGCATATAAGCATGCATTGGAAAATATCAGAGGTGCCAAGAACAACATCAGAAAACTGTTGTACCAGCTCTATGAAGCAATTGAATTGGTAGGATTTTCTATGTTTTAAGCTACTGCTGAACCCAACCAGTTCCTTCCTAATAGTTTTACAAGTTTTCCAAGCTGGAAGGGACCTCAAGGCTGCAGCTTCCCCACTCCTGACTAATTCCTCTTCAAATAGCAATCATTTAAGAAGCGGGCCCCAACTTCTGTTTAATGCCCTAGTAAAGAAGAACCCATTCATTATTTCTCAAGGCAGCCCATTATCAGGACACTTTGAATATTGGTAAGTCAACCCCACTTGCTCCCTACACAAAAGTCCCTTATGTATAACCTAAATCTGCCTTTAGCTATGGCGTCTACATTCGTCCCTCCCACCCCCATTTTTCCTACTAGGAGTAATGGATAAACAAACAAAAAACCCTATCCTCTAGTCCATGTTAGCTCATTCAAGTACTTTAAAATCTTCCTTTCTCTAGACTAAACATTGTCTGTTCATCTGACATGGTCTTAAGGTCTCTCAACATTTTGACTGTTCCTTTGCTCTCTACTATATCTCAATGGTGTTCTTAAAATATAATGCCCAGAAATGATCATATTAGAAACATTTAGCTCTGGTCAGAGCTTATACCCTATGTGGGGACATTGCCTCTCGATGCTGCCTAAGATTGTATAAATTTGATGGATATTGAACTTATTCATTAAGCCCCACTGCCAGGGCTTTACCTTGCTAAAAGTAGCAACGTAGACCAGGAGGTGCAGAGGCAGTTGTATATGTGGGTGATGGGGGATGTTAAAGTGATAGAAGCAAGCTTGCTCCTAGATTCCACTTAGCCATGTAAGCCTTTCCATTATGGCAATTATCTTTTTATGAATGTACAAGAGGATGGCCTCCAACTATAGGGAAGGAATGATAAATTTCTGACTGCTTGATAAATCCAGCATGCTTCATTTCTGAAGAACACCATCATAAGGCAGCTGTATATCTTCAAGCTTTCCAAATGCTTTGTTCCACCAGACTTATCAAAGTAAGCAAGGTGCCGAGGATCGGCAGAATTACCATAAGGCCTTACTTGAATTGTGGATCAACTGGAATAGGAGCCAGTGTGAAAATGTGGATGATGATGAAGAGACACAGGTATCAGACTTATAGACACATGGAACATTAATGTCAAACTGACATCTGTTTGGGGATCAGACAGGGAACCTCATGAATTTTTATATAGTTTTGCTCCTATGTATTACAAATACCTAATTGCCTTAAGCTTCAAGGAGCATTCAAATAGGAAAACTTTACTACATAAATATTGGAGGAGAGTGAGAAGTTACAATTGGGGGAATTGTGAAAGGTCTACCATAGGAGAATAATACAAGAACTAAACTTTGAAGTCAAGCAGGGACTCTCGTGACATCAGGACTAAAGTATTTTCTAGGCATGTAAGTAGTCTATTTTGTTTCAAGGTAGGAATCCCAAGTTTGGGGGAATGGCAACTAGGTAGCTTCGGTGGAACTGAATATATAAAAAGGGAGAAGGAAAGTAAAATATAGCTAGAAAGGTAAATAGAAAATGGATTGTAAAAAAAAAAAAAATCCTAGAGGCAACAAAAAACCATGCAAAGTTCCCAAATAAGGATTATGGCAGGCTTCTGCTTTAGGAAGATAATTTTGGTTGCCTTGTGGAAACTGATCAGAGAAAAAGATAGATAAGAGACCAGAAATCTAGATGAAAGGCTGTCATGATAGTCTGGGTAAGGCAACAAGGGTCTGAACCAGGGTGGGGGCATTATGAGTATAAGGGAACAAGTGGAAGATGTGGAATTGATAAGACTTTACAACTGGATATGGGGGTGGTGGAGTGATTGAGGAAGCAGGCATAATGACAAGGCTGAAAACTGAGGGTAACTAGAAGAATGGTGTTGGCCACTAGGTAAGGCCTGAAGCCAGTGCACATTTTTAATGGAGATAAAGAGACCAGGTTAAGATGAACTGGTAAACAACATGATAACATTCCTAACATACCATATCAAACATGTTAAAAGCCCTTATCTTCAGGAAGTCTTGGATTTCAGTGCCTTTTAAAATGATATTCTATAAAACTCAGTTTAAGGCACCTATATAGACCATAGATCTGACTTACTATGCTAACTAGGGGAAATTGTCTCAAACAAATCATAGGAGACTAAGAAAATAAAATGGCACCATGCTCTTAGAGTTCAAGGTAAACTCATAATTCTGAGACCTCAACACTCTTAGTAGCACTTTGGTTGCCAATTACTTGTTCATTAACAACCCAAGCTGATTTTGAAACTTTCTGGATCCCTCCAAAGCTGTAGTGAACCTCCCATCTGAAGTATCATAGACAAATAGTGTATCTTTGTAGGCATACCTATGATTCCCTCAATTGGTACTCATGGCTTCTGTAGCTTTCATGGATACTAAATGTAATAAGTGAAAATAAAATGGCAAAAATATAACAAAAGAGGCTTTAAGATGAATTGGGGGAGATTTCAAGGAGGATGGGGACTTCTGCAAGATCAGAAAAAGGGTAAAATGAGGAGAAGAAGAAAGCTATTGTCAGCAGAGGTACTTGAAAGGTACTGAGATTTTTCAGTATCATCCAGGTAGCTGAAGTATGACTCTTCAAATCTAGTGGGAGCTATTTTCTAACTGAGGGGGGGGGGCTGTTGTCAGAAATCTGGCTTTTAAAGTGTGCTTCTGGAGGAAGATTGTCTTGCCACCTTGCTTTTTGGGGGATGAGAGGGGAAACTAGGGAGAATGTCAGGTTGGGAATAAGGGAAAGGATTCTAGGGATAAGACTATCAAGGCTCTTGGGAAACTTGTCAGGTATTTTGTTTTTGTCTCCTGATCTACTGTGCAAGAAGCTGTATCTAAGTGACCACTCCTTAATATGCAGAAGAAATAAGTATAAAAATCAACCTTAGTCTGGTGTAGCGAGGTGACAAGGGTCATATGAATCCGGACTCTAGAAGGCCCAGGGTATTTGAAGGAAGCAGAGACTGGGATAAGACTGAGGCAAGTAATCTTACTTGGGGAGGGGGAAGATCAGCTAGAGCTCCAGAGATGACAAGCAACAAGTAACTAGATAGGAAGGAGTAAACTACAAAAGACAAATTGCTTGCTGAGTTGTAGCAGAAAGAACAAAGAAGTAATATCCCAGTTCTTCCTGACCCTGTATTGGGTGTTTGAGAGGAGGAGCAGTCAGCCTTGGAGAAGGCATCAAGGTAGATAGCTTCAGGAGAAAGCTAGATTTCATGAATTACCAGAACATTCCGAAGGAATATAAGGAAAAAGACCTAGAATCAAAAGGTCATAGGTAAGAGCTGAAAGGAGTCTTGGAGGCATCTCTTTTTTCCTAGCAAAGGAAGAAACAAGGGGCTTGGGGAGTTTGAACTTTCCAAGCTCCAAGAGAAGCCAGGACTGAAACTTGGGTCTTCTGACTCCCAAGTTATGTGATCTTCCTCTAAAACTACAAAAAAGACCCCCAGAAGGAACAGAAGAAGATGGAACAGATAAGCTTAGAGCTGAGTTTATTATAGATTATGAAGAGGTATCCCAGATATAAATCATCTTTGCTGATCCTGCAGAAGCATAGGTTCTCCAGGCCAGGTGGCTCATATGAGAGAGGCAGGAAGAAAATGACTCGAGAGAAGGCCCTTGTGTGACAGTGGGCAAGTCACTTAATCTCGATTGCCTCACCAAAAAAAAAAAAAAAAAGAGAGAGAGAGAGAGAGAAGGGCCTGACCTCCACAGCACCCTCGGACACAGCCCAAAGAAAAAGAGAAAGACAGCAAATAAGTAGCTGGTACTAGGAGGGAGGAGAAGTAGGAAGTCAACACCTGGGGCCTAGCACTCATTACATCATGCTAATTCTAGCTACAGACCACAACAGTCCATTATGATGCTTCACAGGGGCAGCTAGGTGGCACAGTGGATACAGCACTTGCCCTCAGACACTTACTAGCTGTGTGACCCTGGTCAAGACCAATTGCCTCCCATCCCCCCTCCCAAAAAAAAATGACCTGGCCTTACTGAAGAGACTGGAATAAGAAAAACAACTGGAGAGAGGGAGTGCAGGGTATTGAAATAATCTAGCTGACAAGGTACTGAAGCAGTATAATAGCAAGGAGAACAAAGAGATCCTTTCAGTCAATAGATCTTGTCAACTAATTTTTTTCTTTTTCCTATAATTTTCCCCCCCAAATCTAAAGATGACTTTTGAACCTGAGTGACTAGAAGAATGGTGGTACTAATAACAGGAAAGGGAACCTAAAGAAGTTTCTACAGTTGGCAAAAACTTTAGAATTCATCATATTTATTTTGCTGATGAGGACTGAGGTACAAAACATCTTCCCCACAGTCCCATAGGAAATAAGGAAGAGTAGGGGTTTGAATCAACCAATCCAGCACTCTTTAAAAAAAAAATGTGTCAACTATTTCCAGTTGCCTACTGGATATCTATGTCTGTATGACTATGAGTGTGTAGCTTCTAAATCTACTCAAAAGCAAAGCAATTAAAGAGGAGGTGATAGAAGGCAGAGGATGTTATAAGGCCTTTTTTTTCCCAGAAATCTGGAATTTGTACAGCAACTGCATACTTACTAAGATCTTTCTGTCCTAACTTCTTCTTGCAGCTCCTGGAAATTCGAACTCTAGACATGTCCAACAACATTACCCAGAAATTACAGTCAGCCTTCATGGACCTCATGCCTAAAGTCCAAGGTCTCCCAAGCAGCCTACAAGACAAGCTCCAACAGGCCTGTTATGACATGCAGGTGCTTCATACCACCTTTTCCCTAAGTAATGGGTTTGAAGATCTAGACAAGCATCAACTGACCCAGAGCCAGTTTAAGCTGACCCAAGCCCAGCGAAGTATAGAAGAACTGTTTTGTTTCTTAGAGGATAGTACTCTTTCTGGTTAGAGTGTAGAACCACTTTTCCCCCACTGAACATCCCTTCACAGGTAACGGTACTCCCTAAGAAAAAAAAAGTCTTGAATTATGATATGAAATCGGGCTGATATTTTTCAGATTCCTGGCAAGCAGTCTTGTGCTAGTTTATAGTTAATAACTGCATTCTGTATACATTTCAGATTATGCAAATAAAGTTATGTTGAAAATTAATTTATTCAGACTGTGGGCTATTTAAATGCAAAACAGATAATAGATTTGAGGTAGCAAAGGGTAGAGTGCAGGACCTGGAATCAGGAAGACACAAATTCAAATATAACCTTGGACCCTCAATACCTGTATGACCCTGGGTGGGTCATTTAACCCCTATTTGCCTCTGTTTCCTCATCTGTAAAAATTATTATAACAGTACCTACCTCCCAGCCTTGGAGGGAGGACCAAATGAGAGAATAATTGTAGAGGGCTTGGCACTATGCCTGATACAGTGTGATTATCTTTTTTTTTCACCCACTAGGGGCCTATTCCAGGCCATGAATTTCCTTGTTCTCTATCACCACTCCCCCTCCATTGAAGGGGAAGGAGCAGCAGGATGCAGAAAATCCAAGGCCCTTGCTGCAAAGTGACCTGTCTATTTTGGAGATAATGAGATTAGTTCTTGAGGGTTTTAGTTTAGGGCAAAGTATTAGTTCCTTGTAGCTTCTTTTCTCAGCACAGACGGAAAGCTTAAACTAGTGATTCTGAATAATTCATAAAATGCTCTCAACCTCTAGGTGATAGATTGCCAAATTAAGGAGACAATCTCCAACCAGTTGAACTTCATATAATCAATTATCCAAAAGTTACTCCACCCCCACCCTAATCAGAGTATAACAAACACCAACTTGGGACACAATTTTTTTTTTTTCTGGTCTAGTAACATTTTTTAAAAAGCAAATAACCAGCAAAAATGTAAAATGGCAGAGAGAGACAATTAAATGTGCTACTGTCAGGAGGCAACAAAACAAAAGAGAGAATGAATGTAATTCTTCATTGTTCCAGCACTTTCTCACTATCCAAAAATGAGCAGCCCCATGTGCTATGGGGCTTAAAGTTGCCTCTTTCAGCTGCTCCCTTCTTCTCCAATGCATCATTTCACCCCTTTCCTAAGAGATTTTTTAAAAAACTGTCAGAAGTAGAAAACTGTTCAGATCCCAGAGTCCTTTAATATCTT